GGCTCTTATCGCGATAGCCTTAAGCCGCCCCTGAGATTGCGATGTGCGTTATTCGCGGCTCGAAAGAGAAGACATCTCTTTGTCGTCGCGTTTTCTTTTTCTTCTCGCCGTTCGATCGGCGAGATCGTGGAAACGCCACGACGGAAAACCAAAGAGGAATTTATCACAGGCGACGTGTGACGCGACGCGACGCGACACGACGCTGCTCGTCAGGGGAAACGTGCGCGCGGCACATACTCCGCGTACTCCCGCGTGTATACGTACATACGCCCGTACACGTGTGTGCATTCGCGATATGTACGTACATATATATATATATACGTACACTCACGTTCGCCGTTTCCAGCGGAGGAGCGACTAGCGGCAACGTCGCACATATACACACCGTTTGTCGGACTCGGCCGCGCCGGCTGGAGTCACCGACTTTTCGAGGCCACGACGGCCGCGCTATGTGCCGCACACTCTCAGATCGCACTGTGCCGATTACGGCTGCGCGATCTATCGGCGCCGCGAGATACGAGCTCAAGGACGCGCCTTTTCCACGCGACCGTGAATTCCGGTCGGCCGGTAACGCAGGAATTCCGGCAGCGTATAATTCCGCGCGCGCGCTCGTTGTCGTCGTCGTGAGTCGAGACACTGCTGGCGCCGTATCTGGATCGTCTGAAATAGTAATTCGCGACAACGCGATCTTCTCCCGAGACGACGGTCGTTGTAAACTAGGAACGCGGTAAGTGGGTCTAGTTTTATGAGGGTACAACTAGATCTTGATCCTGACAACTTCAGGGACAATATTCATAAGTCGGTATTCATAGTCTGATCTTATATTTAAGATCATTTTAAGTGCTGTCTTAAGATGTCATGAACACTCAATCACAGAGCCATATTCGCATCTTAAAACATTACTTAAGACGGTCTTGTAATAAGATTCGACTATGAATACCGGCCATAGTCGGATTTTATGTTTAAGATCATCTTAAGTTCATCTTCAGATATTCTATAATCAATGAAATAATTCGTACAACATCTGAAAGTTAACTTAAAACGACCTTAAGATTCGATTACAAAATATATTTGTCACACTCGTTGCACCAGTTTGCATCAGCTCGGACAGTTCAGTTGGACAATCTATTGTTAGAGAAGATATCCTATCGTCGATTGTTTCAACGGGTAATGCCTTTCTGGATGTTTTCGAATCTAATGCGTTATCTTGAGATAAGAATTAATAGCGTTTTCAAGCGATTAATGGCATCATAAGCTATACCTAACCAATATAGAGCTTATAATATGATTAAACGCTATCGAAATGATTTAAAGTCGTTTTAGTCGAAAATACGGAGACAGAGTTTGGACTTCGAATTTTTTGAGGAATTAGTTCTTAAAATCCCTTTAGACACATAGTTGAACACCCAGTACAATGCGATGTGCTCCACTTGCGCTTTTACGTCGTTCAAGTCGCGTTGAGAATGATAATGAAGCTGCGGCTGATAATGGAAATGAGGGAGAGATAATCTTAAACGCGCGTTGAATCGTTTCTTATGTTCTGCCGCACGAAACGATCTTCCGCGAGGAGAAAGTGTTTCGGCGCGATTCCTTTCACGGTGATGACATTGCGTGACGTAATTACATTACTAATCGTAATGTTAGTTCGACGTCATGTAAACGATATAAAAGCTCCCATTTAGACTTGATTTATATTTATATTATTTACAGGAATAATATTTACAAACAAATATTGAATACATTATGAATACCTGAACACTCACTGGACCTACGGTGATTTTCTTCAAATTCTAGCTAAGTTGATCAATCGACGATCAACTCAGTCGGCAGCATTGTCAACATAAGAGACAGTTTTCGATTAAATACAGAATTCTCATGTTCTCTTTGTACGGTGTGTATTTAAAATTTCTATCAGTCAAGTATTAACTGCTTTATTCTGTTAACGTGTGCAGAATTGTTAATTCGTTGCTTATGGTCAGCTGACAAATTACGTGGGATTTATGTTTGTAACTATCGATTATAAACTGGGGTTTAGGGAAGGGTATCTTCAGTGTCGTTATAAACGTCGAGCGTCGCGTTTACGTCCGTGCATCATAGTTGCTATTATTCAAGGAAAACTGCAACGACATTTTACATATTACTCAGAAGTGGTACTATTTGTGTAAAGGCATAAATTTTCATACGAGGAGGAGAATAATGTTGTCCGAGCAGATTCGTCGGGCAAAGTAAGTTCTCGCGACGATAGTGCTGCTCGATTTGCACTTTAAAATACAGCGCGCGCACGTCGTCGTCGTCCACGTGTCTCGTGCACGCGCGCACCCAGCGACGTGGTTTATCGAGTTACGTAGCTTTCACTGCATGCGTTACATTTGGGCAACGACTTTCTTGGGCTCGCCTCGGACACTTCCTAAAGTCCTGAGTGGTGTCGTTGTTTCGTTAGCGCGGTCTGACGCAATGACGGATAACAGACGCGCGCGCGACGGCTAATGGACTGTGCACACAGTACAAAAACCGAGCCGATGCACACATACACGCATGCATTCGCGCACACACGTGCGGCCCGTAGCCCGTTCTCCTCAGGTTCGTATACTCGCTTAAACCCTTCATCCGGTAAAGTAAATTTCAGCTTCGCGTACCGAGAAGCGGCCTCCTCTGGTCTCCTCTCTGAGATCGGGGCTACGTGAATAAGTGAGATTAAATTTCTAGATTCTTCTCTCCTGTAGCACGATGATGCTGTTCAGTCTACTTTCCTCGAATAGCGCTCGCTAGAATCGATCTGAAAGTTGGAAAAATGCAATACTCTAATCAAATTTTGAGACCAGTTGTCTGAAAGGATCAGAGATTTAACTCTCCGCGGCAAAAGCACTCCAGCGATACATGTGTCGATCTGCATCGCGGGGGAATTCGCGATTGAATCGATTTTTCGCAAATTGCGCGCTCAATTTTTGTCGTGAGCTTGGAATTTTCCTAGATGATCTTCTCAGCTTTCGCGACAGTAGGTGAAAGTGGCCTGTTCTTTTTAGCTGAGTCAGTGCCGCACAGGTCATTCGTACCTTTTCCCTTTAACGCTAGGTTAAACATAGGTATATCATTTGCATTATGTACCTGTTTAAAGGCAAAAAGTGCAACCCAGCTGTGAGCTAAAAAGGACAGACCTAGCGTTATCTACCTGACTTCACCTACACGGTGCACCAACGCGTATTCTTCCATTTGAGCTACGAACGTTCGAGTATCAAGATCAGTAATCTCGAGTATTGAGAAATAAAGAACGAAGCGTAAGTAATAAAAAGCGACTTGGAAGCCACGTTACATTACGTTCGGTCGTGCTCACTTTTTTTCATAAACTGTATTTTTCTCATCACTTGCCATGATCACAACATTCCTCGCACTATTGACTCAATTCGATGTATTTTTTATCTACCACTTCTCTATTGATATATCGCGTGTCTTTCTCCCATCTATCCGCTCTCTTGTGTCGTTGCTACAGTCGCTATTGGTAGCCTCTCCATAACGACAAATCTGTTTCGACATGTAGAAACAACGTTGCCGGATGTCTAACGATAAATTCTGTCCTACCACCGAGCGGATTATTTGTTTCGTATCTCTGGCGTGCGATACCATCTCTTATTTCACTGATATCACACGCCTCGTAAAAGTGATGCGCGGCCGTATATCGCGCGTGTGAACATTGCCTATCAACAATTTACCACTTTAACCGTTCCGCCCTCATATATTTTCGAATGTTTCATTTTATTACGCACACGTGCACGTACACGTGTTTTACACCGCGCGCACGCCGAACCAGGAAGAGCGCGTGTGCGGTGCGATGCATGTAGGGTGGTTCTAGCCAATTCTGCGAAACGTTGCGTTTGCAAATCCGCAAGGTACTTTCGCTTGGAAGCAGAGTAAGCCGACACCGCACCGCGTTTTGCATTTGACGAGACCGAGGAGAGATCAAAACATGATAAAACACATGTCGTTAACGAATTAGGTAGGTTTCACTGGAATCAACAGGAAGACTTAAAGACAGACAGACAGCCACGTCGGGCTTACACACAATATAAAAACGACATGAATTGGAATTGGCGAGATTTTCGGTCGCAACATGATTTCGCGCGTCCCATTCGCGGCGTGACATCATTTGAAAACGACTTGTTATAGCATCGTAATCGCGCCGACGTATCTCGCTTTCGCTCGCGCGGCGGCTGCGACGAGGTGCGTGTGTCGAGATGCACACAAAAAGCGGTGTCAGTCGTTTTCTCGCATTATCACGTCACGCATAACTTGAACGGCGCGATGGAAATGCGCCACCATCACCACCACTACACCATCACCACCGCCGCCGCCACCGCTGCGTCATTTGGACGGAGAGAATTAAAGATTATTTCGTCCGCGGTGTAGTCAGAGAGGCTTCTGTACACGGCGCTTTTGTGCGGACATTAGCGTCGAAGTGAACGTTCGAGTAAACGCGACGATTGTCTAAATGTGAGGTAAAAGCATTTCCCTCGCAGTTACCTCGATATTGAAATTACAAGAGCCGAGAATTAATTCACGTTATGCACACTAAATCATTGTATTTTAACGAATTACAAACTTTTCTCTCATATTGATACCGTTCAATTTATTCGCGGGTAATTCGTCGAAACTCGATGCAACAGTCGATATTTAAGCGAGACATGTGTAAACACATGTGTGATATGTATTTATTTTAATAATTGTCGAAGAGCGTTTGCAATATGCGCAAATTTTGTCCCAAAATTTATGAAATCCGAACTTGGTGAAGATACTATCCTATGATCTCGTATCATACATTTTATGTACCGAATAGTCAGAATGTTATTATCAACCGATAACATATCGCTTTATCTATTGCATTGCACAACTTTTATATACGGAGTATTCCAAGAATAAAAAAGAAAGATTATGACTTTGAGATTCTTTACGCCGTCTGTAATGTGGGAGAGGTGTTCTAACCAGTTGTTTCATTTTTTCTTTTCCAGATTCAGCACTTTAGGCAACAAGAGGGCTCCAATAGTCATGCCGTACAACAGGGAGAAGTGTCTTCGTCGAATCCGAACATACTGTCCAACGATCAAGTTGGCTCTGTTTTACTCGAGGTACCTGTTATATGTAAAGAATTATATAGTATAGAAAAAAATTTCTCACGGATGCATTTGATGTATTTAACGAAATCTAGCGATGCTCAGTGATATTGTTGACATCGTTCGATCTTTACAGGCGCTAGACGGCTTTCTATTTGTTGTAAATACGGAGGGCCGTGTGGAATACGTTACGGATAACATAAAAGACTACATAAATTACACGAAGGACGATGTCCTCGGGAAAGATATTTACAACATCATTCACCATGGAGATCACAACAACTTCATGCCCAACTTGTTACCTGTGTCTTTAAGTGAGTATCTTATCTGCATCGCGCTCCTTTCCTCGAGGGGTACCCTCAATACCCATGGGGTAGATTGGAGATAGATGCGATCAGTAGGTCACGGGTAATCCAATTCACAAAAAACCCTGCTCTTCAGAGTTCGTGGTTCATTTTTCAATTTGTTATTCGTGTTTTTGGATGAGGCGGTTGGCCTCCATAAATTTAAGAGGTAGTATACGTGTCTTGACAAATTTTATCACTTTCTTCTTTATCACGATCGCTATTGTCGTATGTGCTTATTTACATATACACTCTTCATTAGTTATTTCACGTACTCTCATATCTGCGTTTCAGATTGTCTTTAGTTCATTTTTACTTGTAGATTGTGCATTTGAGATCCTTTAACGTTATTTATTTGCTAATCTTTGCACGAATATTTGAAATATTTTTTCCGTAGTCAGAATCTATTTGGAAACTACAGCATTAACTTATTAAATTTTAATATTAAATATTGTATTATATAAATATTGTACTATATAATTATTTCTTAAGTTATAAATTAAATTTTGACTAAAGTTCCATTAAAATTAATTAGTAAATAATAGATTTACTTACGTTCCTAAAAATAGAATCAGAATCTTTCTGCTCCTTCGAACGTTACGTGTTTTTATAATTAGGCCAGCTATTAAATTTTTACGACAGATTTTCAAGTTCGGTATCAATCTAAATATCTTCCATGAAACAATAAATAAGTGAAATTAGATTAACATTCGCGCTTCAAGCCAGACAAAAGTGCTTGTGCAGTATTTGTGAGATACATATCTCAATTCTTGTAACTAATATTCACAAAATCTACTAATTATGGGAAAAGGAATAAACTATATTGTATGCATTTTTAATAAAATATTTATTTATATATTAGAATATTTACTTTAAAACTTACAAAAATTAAACAGAAAATTCAATTCATTATCTAATAGCGCATCATAAAGCGCACCTTAATTATTTAAGAAGGAATGAATATCTATCTGTCAGATAAGACCGGAATATTAACCTCGATTAACATTAATAAATAATAACGCAATTAGTTCTTTTGAAATTGAGTTCATTTTGCTCAATAATGTCAAATAAATAAAATGGAGTTATTAAGATATCACGTTTTGAAGGAAGCATACCTTAATAGATACGTGTTCAATTTGTCATTTGACGAGTTTGCATATCACAGGCTGGACGAACGATCCGCAGCTTCAGACCAGGAACCGCACTTTCACTTGCCGCTTCTTGGTGAAGCCTCCGGATGATAAGGACGTGACTATGGAAGAGAAGCAACAACGAGTATCGAAATACGAGTCTATGCAAATCTGTTCTGCTGTTCTGCCAAGTAACGCTGATCGTCTGGAGAGCGGTGATGTGTCCTCCGAGTCGTCAGACATTGGTCTTTGCGTGATGTGCGTAGCGCGTAGAGTATCGCCAAACGAGAAGCCGATTGGTACTTCCGTTCCACAGTTCACCTTCAAATTAGATACTACGTGGAAGATTATCACGGTCGACATCAGTTGGTTGTCCCCCGTTTACTCCAAGTACCTAACCAAGGTAAGAACATATTTTGAAGAAATAATTGAATATTTTACAAGAATACAATATATTTAGTTTTATTTCAGCTCTCATATGTATATTTTCTTGTATATGCGTAGCGTATTAATTTTTAAAAGAACAATACAATCATACGAACATGTTCTGTTTCAGGACCTGATAGGCACGTCACTCACGGATTTGTGCCACCCTCATGATCTCAGTACGCTCACGAAGCATTTGAACGAAACGCGCAAAAACGACCCAAATACAGTAAAAAGTAGTCCGAGTGTTGTGTATCGACTGCGCGTTAGTTCTGATAAGTTCCTTAAGATTCAAACAAAGTCAAGATTTTTCCAAGGGATGAATAACACGCACGATAACGACTACGTGATGGCTATTAATTCCATCATCGGGTATGTTTTCATGCTCTTTTTACTCATTACATTTACTCAATAGTTTAGAATAATACAAATGCGGAAGATAATATAAAAAACACAAATAATATATCCATCTCTTTCTCTTTCTCTCTAATCATTGGAACTAGCAGAAAAATATAAATGTGATATTTTATTTTCTTGTCCATAATAGGGATAATTTAATGCCTATCGAGGGTGGTCAGCTTTCCAACAACAAAGTGTGCTCGGGACACTCTAGCAACCGCGCGAATAATAGTAATAACAATAACGGTAACAATAACAATAACGTGGGTGGTCCGTTGATGTCCGTCGCGCATCTGAACGGTCAAGTGAGTGGTATCAGTGCTCGCAGTATGGCGGCTGCCTCGCACGTTGCTACGTCTTCGAACTCGATCACTATTAGCACGGGGGGTGTCGCTGGCAGCAACAGCAGCGGTAGTGATTCGTGTAACCCCCTCACTTCGCTAAGCGCGGCCGGTAATACGTTCAACCACTTTCCGGGGAATGTGGAGCTGGATTTCAACTTCTTCCCTACTTCTACGTGGGACTTGGACAGCACTGCCGGATGGACGGATAGGCCGGAATCGAGAGCGAGCGGACCACCGAACTCTCGACCGCCTTCGCAGCCAGCCCCAACGGCGTCACCGAGTCCGCAGGGAACGACCTTCTCTAGTTCGGCGGTAGCGCCCCATTGTAGTCCTCTACGTCCGTTCAGCCCAACCACGGTCAGCGCCGCTCATACCTTCAGCAATTCGTTCCCCTTCAGTCCTCTTCAGGAGTCCACGCAGACAGCCACATTGAGCAACACCGCCATTGGTGGTGTTGGTAGCAACAACGGTGGTAGCAATGGTGGCAATACCACTGGTGGTAATGCCACTACGAACGTAAAACGTACCGAGGACACTAGTAAGAGTGGTTGTCCCAACAATAGTAGCGCAGGTGGCAATAGTACGATGGACAGCGCGACGGTCAGGACCAGCAGTAACAACAGTAATAGCAGCGGAAGTGCCGCCATTATCGCTGTTGAAACTCAGAACAATAGTGTTGTGTCCACTGAATCCGGTAGACTCAGAAATTTGTTGACTAAGGGCCCGAGTGAGGACAGTCAGGACAATATGAACAGCGACTCGGGTAGTCATAGGATACTGAAGAAACTATTGAATCAGCCAGATGAGGACGACTATAACTCTGAGCATAAGGTGCGCACGAGTCCCAGCAACATACCGAAGTCTAGTAGCATGGAACACTCGAAATCGTCACTCGGAAACAACATGCTCTTGCAGGTAACTCATTATTGCTGCTTCACCTTATCGTTTAAGGTTTAATGGTAATACATGAACTATACATAACCATTATTATAAGCAAATAAGCAGTTTAACGATCCTAGTTTCTCGTCGGAACTCTTGATGGCGCCAAAAGCGATAAAATACACGATAAAAATTCTCGTAAAATACATTGAGATAAAATAAATGTATCCATAAAATTATACTTACAATCAATTAAGCAGACTTGTAAAATAGTTCGAATACTTTTTTTTTGTTCGAACAATCAGTAAATAACCGTAAAATTACGATAATTACAGTAAAATTGTAACAAGCAACTTTCTTCTTTAACCTATCTTCTCTCATGATTTTGTCACGTTAACTTTACGGCTATTTATTGATTTACTGTTACAATAAAAAGAAAATGTTTGGACTATATTTTACGGGTCTGCTCGATTGATTGCAAATATCATTTTATAAACATATCATTTTATTTCAACGTATTTTCAAGAACTTTCAATATGTATTTTCTTATTTTCGACGTCATAAATTTTAATTTAATCTATATATTTTTTTTTTCAAATATACTCAAATAAAAATTTTTGTGCACAATACTAATTGTTTTTTTTATTTCTCTTATAAACAAAGGGAATTATTGAAAACATAAGACTATCATAGTAAAATTCTCAAATGATTAGTTAAATGATTAGTCGATTAACTTATTAAGTTTAAATCCTGTTATTTATACTTTTCTCTGTGCCATGACACTACCTCTTTGTTTCTAGCTATTGAACGAAAAAAATGACGATGAGGACGAAGAGAGTCGTGCCGGGGCAAAGAAAAGAAACGAACTTTTACAACAGCTAATGAAAGACCAAGATGAAGAGAGGAAATCCTTTTTTGAGGAGAGGAAACTACAGGAACAACAGGTATAGATTTTAATTAGCGTCATAGCGTCATAATTATACAAAAGTTTATGTTTTACAAGGTAAAATTTTTAAAAGGTAAACCTGATGATTTCTGTTCTTATTAAAGAATATAAATATATATGAATACAAGTGTAAAACAACTTTGTATCTGTTGTTCGTTGATAGTATTTTTGATTTTAAGGTTTATATTCCTTAGTTTTCTTTTAAAGATAAAATTTGAATTTCTCATTCAATATGGTTTATTTGACTTCGACATGTATAAAATTTTCTTCACCTCCTGCTTAGGACTAGAAATTTTTTTTTAAAGCTAATATAGAATAGATTCTTCTCTAATCATCTATTTATTTAATATTGTTTTCATCTCGGCAATTGGAATAATATCACTGAAATGTAGACCATCGATGTGTATGTAGTCTTTATTTAAATAAGTGCCACTAAAGCAAAAGTTAAAAAATAAATATCAAAGAATTTCTATTCTTTGCAATCACCTTTCACCGCAATAGATTTTCGTAAGCAAATGAAATTTGTTTTACGTTAATAAAGCAAAGTCGGGAAGACTCTCGCGGGAAGGAGGATCTCTTGTTGCTGAGTCTTGGATACCGGAACACGACATCATCTCCGTCACAGTCGGGCGATCACCTCAGTCTCGGTAGTACGACTCAGATCGGCCAGAAAAGACCGGCGGGCGAAGATGGTGATATGAATGTAGCTGTGAAACGGTCGATGGATGGTTCGCATCAAGTAACTTCTTCTGGCACGAGCTCCTCGATTAACTCGAACAGTAGGCTGTGGGAGAAAAATAAGATGTTGGCGTCCCTGTTGGCGATAAAGCCGGAGACAACTAATGTCCCACCGATTCCCGCATCTGTGATATCGGCAACGCCACAGGTATATCTTGAATATTAAATCCTTTATTTATTGCAAGTAATGACATCATCTTGTTTTTTTTTTTCGAATGTCCAATCAGGGCGAAATTATGTTTTTTATATTAGCAATATAAATAAAGAAGTATCAACATAATAGATTCCTCAACAAGAAATCACAATTGTAATTACATAGAATCAAAATTTTCAAAACTGATCTCTTAAGCTATGTCTCTATCAATAATTCTGTAAATCTTAAAATGTAAATGTAAATCTTAATGTGCTTACTAGTATATATTTGTGTGTCATATATATATATAATTTTTAGTACATCTCTCAATAATCATGTAATATTTATTTAGGATAAACTGCCTCGCGTGAAACAGCAGCAGCAACAGCAGCAGCAGCAACAGCAACAGCAACAACAACAGCAGTCGCAGCAGCAGCCGTGGGCAGGCGGCAGTATGCAAACAGTTGGTGGTAATAATACGATAACGACGACCGCGACATCGGCACGTACTCCTCTCCAAAGCCAGTCGAGACAACTACCTCGTCAACCAACCAATACCTACCTCAGTCATATACTAAGTCAGGTAAGAGAAAAATAGGAAGAAGAAAACTAACGACTATTAACCTAAAAATAAATATTAATTTAAACTTAAATATCGACTTATAAGTAAGTTTAAGATTATTAAATTTTTATTATTTGTTGTGAGTACTATTAGTAATTCTTATTAGTCATTTATTATTTCCGATAATATTTTTAAACTGTAATATTCTTGTAGCATCAAAGGCCCCAAGTGGGACCAATCGAGTCCGAGTTTGCGGGTAGTGGAGAATACCGTCAGACCAGCACCGATCCAACAAGCTGGGGGGACAATCAGTCGTCGGATCCGGATCTGTCAGAAATTTTAGATCAAGTTATAGACACTTTACCAGAAGATGCTATCACAGGTAATTATAATGACGTAGCACAAAACCATTATTCTTTGACCGTGGAATTATTGTCATTATAAAAAGTACATTGTATGATATTACATTCATCTGACATTATATTATTTTCATTTGATAGGTTCGTCTGGGATATCAAATCTCTTGGATACAGGAGAAACACCGCCAAATAATGCCATGAACGAAAAAATGGCGATTAACGCTATTCAAAATGCGCTGATGTCCTACGAGACTACTGTTAATCCGACGTCTTCCACCATAACTATGCCTGGCACGCCTCCAGCTTACTCTACTGCAGTAAGTTCTTTCTTTTATCAACACTGTTCAATTCTGATTAGTTTTATTCAAGTCTTCATTTTAAACGTATTGAAATTTATATTGTTCTTCGATAAAGTAAACGAAATCCTTAAATTTTGTTTCAGTTGGGAACCGCACCCGCGACGACAAGTCACAATTACCAACCGCCACCAATGTATCAACAACAACCGAGGATAAAGTTTAATACTACTCAGTCAGGTGTTAGACAGACCACCCAATTTACGCAGCAACAATTGCAAATGCAACGATCAAAACTCATACAACAGCATCAGCAGCAGCAGCAGCAACAACAACAACAACAGCAGTTGAAGCAGAGGCTGCTGCAACAGCAGAAACAACAGCAGCTGCTTATTCCTTCCAACGCCACTGCTACGGACCAAATTACGGCAGGCATTCATAATATTGACAACCTTCTCAACAACACTGTTGCACCGCCGAATGTGTCGTTGCAGGTACGTTAATTTGTTGTAAAGATGCAAGGTAGCAAAAAATTAAAGAAGTTCGATCGTATAAAAGTCCTAAATTTTCGTAATTTATAATGTTTATTAACATCCATTTTTCTATTGAAACAATAACTAACGATTATGACTAAAATTGTTGAGACAAAATCGTTGAATATAGAATGTAATATTTTCTGTAGATAATATTATATCGTTATTTTAGCCAAAATATTACATTCACAAGTTGTCACAATATAGCGATTCTGAAAATTATATGAATTTTTATGATGTTTCTTTTTTGTTTAGCGATCGAGTGTCCCAGATTCACAAGTTTCTCCAGGTTATGGGGGATCCGTCCAGATGCCTTCTGGTCATCGACTCGCTCATTCTTATTCCCATCCATCGACGATGCAACAACAGTGAGTATCCCTCGTTTGTGAAGATCTTGAGGTCTCAGTCGTTTCTGGAGATCTTAAGATGATATCACTACACAAGCATATTTTTTTACAGTCCTATTGTGAACAACTTTAACAATGGACAACAAGTCTCTGCTGCGGCGAGGCTGTCGCCGCATTCTCCGGCTAGCATACTGTCATTCTCTCATCCACAACCGTTATCGCCACGGGTGACTCAAGTGAGTGTAAGTCATCGTTATATATTGAATTAATTTATGATCAAATATTTATATAAAATAGTCACACAAGCATTATAGATATACATTAATTAGAATCAATCGGAGCTCAACTGACTTTTTAAACTGTCTGTACTGACTTCCTTTCGCCTTTTCCCTTTTCTATTTTTTCCAAGATAGAGAGAATTTAAATTAATATTTTTTGTAAAATGAATTTATGCAAGTTAAATACGAGGGTGGTCTGAAAAGTTTCCGACCTAACAAAGATACAAGTCATTTTTTCTGAAAATTGTTTTTTATTTTTCAACATAGTCTCTTTGTAAATCTACACACTTCTCCCAGCGATGCTCCCATCTCTGTAACCCGTCGAAATAGTACTCGGCGTTTTTCTCTGCAAAATAATTGTTCACGAAGGTGATTGCCTCTTCATTTGACGAAAATCTCTGTCCTCCGAGCGCAATTTTTAGATGAGGGAACAAAAAGAAGTCGCTTGGGGCTAGATCTGGTGAGTAAGGTGGATGGTCAAGCAGTTCAAACCGTAATTCGTGGATTTTCGCCATGGCAACCGCTGAGGTGTGAGACGGTGCGTTGTCTTGGTGAAACAGGATTTTCTTTTTCTGCAAATGTGGCCGTTTTCCCGCAAGTTCTGCCTTCAGCTTGTCAAGTAATGATGCGTAGTATGCTCCTGTAATGGTTTTTCCTTTTTGAAGATAATCGATTAAAATAACTCCATGACTATCCCAAAAAACAGTCGCCATCACTTTCCCAGCCGAAAAAACAGTTTTTGCTTTTTTTGGAGCCGGTTCCCCCTTTGCAGTCCACTGTTTGGACTGTATTTTTGTTTCAGGCGTATAATGGTGTATCCAAGTTTCATCTACAGTAATTAATCGGCGCCAAAACTCGGATTTATTGCGCCTAAACTGCTCCAACAGAGCGTTGGAAATGTTCATTCGAACACGTTTTTGGTCTAACGTGAGCAAACGCGGCACCCAACGCGCGGACAGCTTTCTCATGCCTAAATGTTGATTTAATATGCGACAAACACGTTCTTTTGACATGTTCATAACCTCTGCTATCTCTCTCACTTTAATTCGGCGGTCGTCTAGCACCATTTGGTGAACTTTGGCGATGTTTTCGTCGGTAGTTGCAGTTTTTGGACGTCCTGAACGTTCATCGTCTCCCAAGCTCTTACGGCCACGTTTAAATTCAGCGGCCCAAAATTTCACTGTCGTAAATGATGGTGCAGAGTCCCCATACACAGAATCCAACTCATCTTTGATTTGCGTAGGCGTATTGCCTTTCAAAAACAAATATTTAATGACAGCTCGATACTCGATTTTGTCCATTTTCACAAAAACACTCACATCAACTTACTCAAACGACTGTTACATAACAACTGCGAGTCCAAAATGGCTGAAACTTCGGTGAGTAACTGTCAACAGATGAACAACGAAATTCACTAGCTTTTATTTACAAGTGCTGCTATCTTCACGTTGAGGTGAAAAATCTTCACGGAAACTTTTCAGACCACCCTCGTATTACATGCAATATATAGTATATAATGCGTAGAAAAATAACTTGCAAGCTATAAGTATTTTGTTAACATATTTCTGTTTTTCTTGTAGTTAACATAATATATTTCTTTTTTCTTGTTTTTCTTGTAGTTATAATTATTTTCGTCTTTTGTAGTTTTTTTATGAATTTAACTTATATATACATATATATGTCAGGGCACTTATGGTAACTCGCCGAGAATATTGGGAAGGCCACAACAACAATCTTCGGCGCAGCAGCAGCAGCTGCAACAGCAGCAACAACGATCGATGCCCTCGCCAGGGACCCCAGCATCCGCGCGGCAATCACCTTTTCCTGCCGAAGCGTTTCCTCCGCCTACATCTCCGACGACCAGTCAGTTTCCACCAGTTCCCAATACCGGTGCACCGAATCCTTCGGCTCAATATCGATTGCAGCGGACCACGTCCACACCTTCTGCGACAACTCAGTTGCCAGGTAAGGAATTTAATGTTTTTTTATACTGACAGAGGTTTCTCTAGTATTATTCAGCTGTAATTCAGTATGTTATTTTATTGGAATATGATAAAGGTTATTTAAAATAATCAGGGCGAGTAATTTTAATAAAATGAAAAGAATAATTGTTTTGTAGTCATTAGAATTCTTCTGCATCTTGAAAAACATGTGGAGGTTTAGGATTTTAACTGTTTTTTAGAGAAATAAACTCTTAAAATTGAGTAACTTGAAATAATGGCGAAGATAAGATTATGTTCTTGGTTATTGATTGATATTATGCCGACTTTATGCTAGGGGGATGGTGTGTTATATAAAGGATAAATAGTTACGGATATATTATACTTTTAGTCATAAGATTAAAGATGTGTTACAACCAAAGCTTGGAATTGGCTGTTTTGCGCTTCGAGCTTTGGCTGTAACGTTATGCATACAGGCATAGCATCTTCTAAAAGTCATTTTACTGGAAAGTTTCCGCGCTACAATTAATGTTACTTCTGCAGTTATTTCTTATCTTGTTTGTTACTTGTAATCAATTAGATTAAAAATAATCTTCCCCATATATATATATATATATATATATATATATATATATATATACATACACACATACACACCATATATAAAAATAACACAATATATGGTAAAATGGCTTGTGAAGTATTATTAATATAATATTACTTAACATACAAAAACGACGAGAGACATATACTGTGACGTGATGCGGTCATGTTTACATAATCTATTAATAAGCGGTAGGTTTGTTGCGTAACATGTAGATATGCGAGTTTTACATCTGGCTGCAACTTGTTCAATCGATTTCGTTCGTGGATAGAAGCAAAGATACCGTCGGACCGATATTCGAACACTAATTTTCATATAGATGAATTGATATATATTATAAAAACCAATATGCAATTGAACGTTATACGCGCGATACGAAAGGTGTGATTGAAGTATATGAAACGTTTTGTTCTGTGAAATGGGTAAGTATATGCAGACTGAATTTAATAAACTGTGTTTGATCTATTTAAACGATGGATGTGAAAAAGCCATGCGTAGTTTAGTCGGATATGCGCATAGATTTTATTAGTATCTTTTTGTGCCTGTACTTCTCGATGTTTTTCTGTAAATAGAGTTACGTGATACTGCTGTCTTATACGAATCTCTATAAAAAGAAAAATACTTGTCACATTTAAATAATGTAGCAGAGTTTGCCTCTGCTACATTTCTAATCAAAACAATGTGTTATAATAGAAATGATTGAGATGTTTTCTTTATCGTAATTTTCTTATCTGCTATATCTCAAGAATGCAAAATTTTCTTAATTTAACAATTTTCTTTACTCGCGAAACATCAACTTCAATTAAATTTTCTTAATTTGATTCGCGATATTGATTTAGCCTATGTATTTTAATAAAAGCAATCGCATTATGATTTTTGCATTGACGTTTACAACATTGCATATGGGAAAATTAGTTAGTAAATTAGTATAATTATTTATTTCTTATAATAATCGATTTAATAAAGATATAACTATTTTTTATTTTTTCGTAAACATCAGAAATGATCAGTTGTGCAAACTTTTCGATGCTTACTATTATCCATTCGTAATCGACGGGTAATATAAAATATTTATTCGCAGATTTTCGCGTTTATTATATTCGACGAAGATAGTATTAGTTCGAGGCTGAAAATTTACATGCGAGCCGGAGACACGAGAATTTTGTTTATTTAGCGTACGACTGTATCTGCTTCTAGCTTTTGACCGGCGGAATCGAAACACGTTTCTTGGGAATTTCTCGGGAAACGATTCAGCCGATCGTTTAATTTGTTTAACGTATAGATCTCGATATTGATATTATGTGCGTGGCAATTGATACTAAGCATTAGCATGCGAATTACGAAGGCGAAAATTAGAAGTCTTCAAATATCCAACGAAGTTGGCGAGCCAGGAAATACAAGAAGATAGACACAATTAATGTTGCAGGTGGAGTCGGTTCACCCCGGCACTACGGCGGCGTGAGTAAGGAGCAACCTCTTCTTTCACCTAGTCATTCACACACGGCTTGCCCGGCAACACCTACTCAACAACATCAACACAACGCCACAAACACTCAACACTTCACCAATCAACAACATACCTCTATGTTATACCACACCAATGCCAATAGTATCAACACAGCAGACATGCAGAACAGTCAGTTCTGTTACGATCGAACGTCAGTCCCGCTCTATTCGTCTGGGGAGGCTCAGGATGCCAGATCACTGCCTCCCAGTAATCCCGTCAATCACCAAATGGGTGGTAAGTCATATGACCACTTAATGTCATGTGACCATCAGAAAAACTCCATTATTCAAATTACCACGACGCCTCAGTGCAGCACATATACTTTCAAAGGCACGGTGAAATGTAATGCATTCCTTCAAAAACATCCTTCAAAAATGCGCGATGAGAACAGAATGCTGTCAATAGAGCCAACGCGAAAATAAAATAAAATATGAATAATGTTTCTAATTAGAATTGGTATCCAGCAAGTGAATATTATTACTTACATGAAAATCGATATTATGAAACTGTTCAGAAGAATTTCTGACCAAAGTAATTCCGTTATTCCCTTGATCTTTATTGTGTTGTCTAGGAAAAACGGAATATTCCGATCGAAAATGTTTCCCAAATAATTTGGTAATACATGCTCAACTATATAATATGTAAAGTTGATTTCTCATGCCTCTGATTGTATACATGTCTAACGATTCACCTTGCTCTAAAAAGAGTACCACCATCACGACCACCCCCACCATCACCACTACCACCAGGAACAGGTGCAAGGCATGATATTACTATACGGAAGCACATCATCCTCTTTTTCTCTCTGTCTTTGTCTCCCCTCACGATGTATATATACGGCGAATATTATGTGTTAATCTCATGTGTATATCATGCGTCTTTCCCAATAGGAAATTCTTGACCAAGACATTGTATTCATTTACTCCGCACTTTGATCAAACAGACAAAACACTTCTTTCCCATTTAGAAGTATCGATTAATAGTTCTGGTAGTTAATCTTTTAAGGTTTCACTCTTTATTCGTTAAAAAAACTTGAAGTTTGCTTACGATTCGGCATTTTATACAGTGACACCAATATACATATACCCTGCTTAAAACGATTAGATGGTCACATTAAATGAGACCGATATTTGATAATTGTGAGATGACAATTGATTGTGAAGGCGAAGAGACACGTTCAATATGCATAATAAAGCATGAGTGCTTAGTCATGTAAAATCATTCATGTATCAATGCATTTTAATATATTCATATGTTTTTCATTTATCAGATTCAGCGCGCCGATTGATCGTAGGAATGTAGGTCGCATATTTTTTTGCATATGTTGAATGATAAGATAATATAATCAATGTTTCTCTGTGATAACTGTAGTTCCTAATGCACCGGATATTTCACCTCACATTTTCAGGTTCTAAATATAGAAGAGACAAAAGAAATATAAAAAATAATGATCTCCGTTTTAAAATCTATTTTTAACGTACCTCGGAACTGGAGGTGAATTATCTAAATCGATAAATCATCGATAAAACATCAAGAAGTAGAAAACTGTTGATATATCTTAATGTAAGAAGGATTCGTACTACCGAAATAGGTTTGTATAAATTTGCAATATCCAAGTAAGTTTTACTTCCTCCGACACACCAGTCGTTCGCAGAATATATGATTTGGCATAATCATATCATATGCACTACTCAGGGATACATTCTGTGATTGAGGAATCAATATTATAATGTTACGGCATTGTGTTAATCATAATGTAAAATATTTAGCTTGAAATACTTCACAGTTTGCGTACATTATTTCCTAATATTTTTGATAATTTATATAGATGATACAGTTTTTAAATATATTATCGATTTTAGTTTGTAAGGATATATTGTAAAACAATATACGTATTTCGTACATGATGTTGACTAAAAAAAAATATTTATCTAGATTGTCGACATTAGAAAATTGTTTCCAATATTCTTACATATCAATATGAGACATTATAGAATTAGAACATCTAGTTTAAAAATAGCTTAAAAAGAAATGCAAATATAGGATATTCAACTTATCATCTGTTTTCACGAGAAATAATGTTATTTGTTTTTTTACTTGCAAGCTGTGATATTATTTCGAATTGATGTATGCTCTGTCGTAATAATTAGAAGATTTTTATATCGTAGGGTATATCATAATGTATCTGTATTTAATATACCATAATGTATCGTACACATCCATTATCACGCGCGCGCGCGCACGTACACACACATACAATTGACATAGCAGCATAAATTTGCAATGAAATTTTTAATTTTAAATTTATGTTGAAATTGTTAAATTACAGAGATGTCAGGGATTATATTATATATATTGTGTTTACTTTCTTCGATAATGCGATCAATTTGAAGTAGGAAATGTGTGATATCGGCCATAATTTCATTTTACTCATTCTCTCATCGTCATACTTTGTGTTCACCTGTATAATATAACATTTCTCGATGTAAAGAAGTAAATTCGAGCACACTGCTTATATCTACGTGCTATGGGAACATTTACTAACAGTAAGGCCTTCTTTATGTAAAACGCATCGAGCACTTGTGATTAATATATATATGTGTAAATCCCTTTTTTTAATTTTTTTTTTGCGTATATTTTCCTTATCACATCAGTTTACCATATCGTATGCACCAATATTGGTTTTGTAAAAGAGATTGAAATTTTGTGACATATAATTTACAAAATGCTATACACATCGCGCATTTTCCCTTGATTAGAGATTGAAGTATAAAAATAATTGCAAATTAAAGATTTATTAAATCTGTTAAATCTATTTTATTAAATCTATTTTTACACGCACAGAATACATTGTTTCACATCGAAATATACAAGGTGTTAACGACAAATATAACATAAGTTACTATTGAATCTGTTTTGAATTTGTTTTGATTTTATAATATCAATACTACGGATAAAAAAAATATGATATTATTTGAAAAATTTAAAATAACCTTAATTGTTACGAAAAAAGTTTTTAAAGTTTTTTTGTTTTTTTATTGACGTTTAAAAACTGTTTAATTGGATATTTCCCTGTCGAATCATTATAACTGGTAAAAATATAGTGAATATCACGGTGAACACACTCTGTACATTACATTACAGATCAAACATTATTCGACATGTATTTTAAATGGACTTTAAACTAGAGAATTTAACTTTCAGATTTAAGTACCAAATTATTCAGCATTAGAAATTACAAAAAATCACGGGCATCGTTCCTCCCTGATGAAGCGGACTGAAATGTTCGCGAAACGTCGGAATCAAACAAAGATGAATCTATGCGGCTCAAACCCGGAAACCAAATCTAATAATCACGGGAATAGTTTAGCAAGTAGTTTAATTTATATAAGTAGATTCTAAATAAACCGGAGAATTTGTAGTAGGAGGGAAAATACGCGATGTACGAATCAGCTTGTGCATTTTCTTTCTGTTTCATTAAACCATGAGCTGAGTTATCTCTATTTTTAATAGAATCAAATATATCATGTAAAAAATATTTTTATATTGATTTTGAGTTACTGTTGTAAGATATTTGTATAAAAACAGGAGATCGTCACGTAAGTTCTGTGACCGATTTCGATACTGTTAACCCTTTCGCAACGGCGAAATTGGCCGCCACCACGCTATCGTTCTACGGCAGAACTGGTGCGTGTACATTATACGGTGTACACATATATATTTACAGGGTCCACAGACGCCAAGTTTACGCAAGTGATGCTTTATTGCATCACGCGTATTTGGCTTCTTTTTAATAATTATTTGTAAAATTATTTGTTTCGTGAGCGGTTACTATAGTCGCCATACGTTGCGAAAGAGTTAACACAGTTGGAAATCGAGAGCTGCGATGTACAAGGGAAATATGATGTAATATGTTGTAACGGGGCATGTTGTTTAACACAATTTCCTCTTGCTGTCTCAGGTAATGCCACCTCGGAATTTGTGCGGCAAGAATTGCGGGCGATTGTTGGCGCACGAACGCAGCAACAACAGCAGCAACAGAGAGTGCCCAACAACCTACAGAATAATCTGTCCGGTCAGGTCTCTCAAGACGATCTTGATGTGCTTGGGATAAGGCTTCAAATGCCTGCAGGTATGTCTGTCGGCACCAAAGAGAACAAACACTTTATGCTGTGTTCCGTAACTTAGATCCGAAACTTCGTCGAAAATAAGCTCACGCGAATAGCTCGCAGCAAAACTGGGAATTTCGATGAAATTACAGTTTTCTGTTAGCATCCATTCTTTCTCTCGAGAGTGACGAGAGTTAATCGAATCTACTAAAGAAATTGACGCAGTTGTGCCTCGTCAGTTTAGCTCTGGGAGCTTCATTGAGAACCTCCAGAGAAATCAGGACTTTGTACATGGATCCATTTGTAAATATCGCGCTACTTGAAACTCGGAGTTAAATTTCATATTCGGCGGACACTCGTCAAGGATATTCAAGTGCGAGGCACGTAAGAGTGACAAAAAAAGTTTTGAACCGAAGTGAATTTTCTTAATGGAATGAATACTGTGAAAAAGTATTATAGACAGTTGTGTATATATACAGAGTTCCCCTTCTCGTATACCACGCACATTTTCTCTCGATTTGTTTATCGCACACGGTTATGATATTTATTACAACTAATTACACTTATTACAATGCATCTCTCTTTAAGGCCCCGTCTCTCTTCGTAAGATTTACATAACAAGTCTCAGACATACACAGCGAAAGTTGAGCCTTGATTGACTCTTCCGGAATGACAGGTTGTAACAAATGCCTTGAGTAAATTCGATTTCTTTTTCATGTTGTTAAGATCAGTAAGAGACGGTATAGTCAGCTTGTTTACTTCATATCAGAAATGTTTGTCGACAACTCTCGCCGACATAACTTCTCTCTTGTGGAAGAGTTAACAAAGCTACAACAACTTGCATCGAACATTCTTTTTTAGACTCCCACGAATCCTCTTTTCAATTCACAAGTCCATAACACCCGACAAAATATTTCGTTCGCGCAATTTTGTCGAGCGCATCTCGAACGGTAATGAAAAACGCATAACAAGACTCGATCGAACACACGAAGCAGAGTTTCCGTTCGACCGAAACGCGCGTTGAAATCTTAGTGTGCGCATCCTCGGCTCCTCGTGCTTCGCAAAATCTTTCTTTCGCGGCGTAAGAGCGAGCTCTCGACCGGGAAGAGTCGCGTATGCCCGCGTCAATATAGAAGCCGAAGCGCGCGTTGAACTCGCTCGCGTTTACCATGTGCAAATCTCTCACCCGCTTCTTGTAAAGAAAGGCATAATATCTTTTCTACAAAGACTGTGGTAACGCCTACTGTTACGATGTCCCAACTAGGTGAGGCTGTGGTTAGCGATGGCCCCGCCAAGAGCTGGGCCATTGGGAGCGCCGGAAGTGCCCCCTCGTCCTCCAGGGTAAGAACCCCATTCCGACAATATAATTACTTTTTACGTACTCTTTTGATTTTGTTATGCTATGTCTTCCCTCTATACGCTTGGCTTCAGAACTGATTGTGCACGAAACATGTTTTAATGATCTTTACTCTCTACTCGCGCACTGAGCGTAAAACTTGTAGGGGGAGTGTTGCGTCTTATTGTTTCGTCTTATTTTATTTTCTTTTCACATATAGCGCTCTCTCTTTTTTTTTTATAGAAAAATTGCATGCACGTCGTGACCAACGTCTCGGTGTTATCGCTGCGATATTCGCACTTCAACAACGTTACTCTCTCTCGAATCTTGTGTAGTGTCCGTAGTTGAAGTTTTCTATCACTCTTTCGAATGCTAAAGTAGAACGTGATCGAACGTTGAGTTGAAGAGAATCGACTAACATTTTATTGGGTAAAGTTGCGAATTTCCAATAATCTGAGCCAAAAATATTGGCTCCACAGTCGTGGAATTTATTTTTACTTTTGTTTCTTCCTATATATTGGCTTTGTTTCTTTAGTAGATACATTTGAGATTTAAAAATGTTTCGTTCGAAATCAAGATCATGCAGCGCTAATTTATTTTTAATCATATTTGTTAGTTTTTTTATCTGGAAAGATTCACGTTGCACGACGCGATTGAATTAAAGAAACATAATTCGACAAGACCATTGGGAGTTTTACACTCAGTGTTTTGCGGCAGTAAGAAACGCTGTTTTTTTTTTATTTTTTTTACGTAGCTGTACTTGAACAAGCTGATTTCGTTACCACGCCAAGTAGACTCTCTCGTTCGAAGTGAACTCCATCGAGACGCTAAACGTGTTAATTGCCACCACTGTCTGCATAATTTTTAGCGCGCGTTCACACGAGTTGCATTACACTTTTGTGCAAGAACTAATTGTACTTGTTTGTCAGGCTGCATTAACTACGAGTAACTTCTTTCGATTATCGTTTCAATACGCGTATGGCGAGAAGCTGATATGACCTCGACGATCCGGTTAATCTTTGCGACTTATTATTACGCGAAAATATTCAAACGATATGGATATATGCAGATTCCTGAGCATTGGCGTGACGTTATTTGTCCGAAATATATTTTTTCCACTCGGCTACGACATTTATTATTCAGTTTTTGTTACATTTCTGCGTACAGATACCGGAACGTGGTTTGTAAAGGGTTGAAAATGAGAAGGGAGTTAACGAGAGTGCGTTGTTCTTTATATGATGCCGTTCTTTGATTAATTAATTTCAGAGTAGATCTCTTTGTTTTACACTTTTTTTTAACGGAATCCTTATTTAAAGTTTAATCATCGAGAGATTCAATTCTGGGACACGAGAGTCGCGAGGAGCGATAGTAAGTCAATTAAGTTCTTGTTGAGTCACTGAAATCAAACGAACGAACTGGTATCCCCTCGTTTAACACCGAGAGAGCGATTGTCCGCGTTCGAGGAGCGCCTCGAATTACACGGTTTTTGCTGTACGTTTTTTTTTTTCGAGAATTCTATCGGTGTTACGTACTCATTCCCGTCTTGAACGCCCACGTGATATCTCGGTGTCAAGCAAATTGTCTCCTTTCGTATCTACAGGGTGATGGTGTTCGCAAGCTTCAGCTCATGCGGAATAATCAGTAATTGTATTACCATCTTTTTTTTTTCTTATATTGTATAACGTATGTCTCTATAGTATCGTAATGCTTTTTCACAGTGAGCAAACTAGATATCTCTATATGCGCGTAGTCCTTAATTTCTTTTTTCCTCTCCGTCTCTCCTTCGGAGAGCAGTTGTTCTTGTTGTGCATGAGGAAATTCGCTAGTCCTATAGAAAGCAGATATAACGTTTAGAAGGATACTCTAATTTCCATTTGTACGATTCTACGTGTCGAGTGTATCAGAAAGTTGTCCGTGAGGTAGCTCGACCGAAACGCAATCACGTCGATCGATTTTTCTTATGTAGCTTCTACTACTTTCTTAGAAAATAATTGTTTTGTGGTTGCAGTTTTTATACTGATAACCGACGTGCGACGAAAGTTAAAATTACATTCGGAGGTATTGAGAATATAATGAATACGATCTTTGTCATATAATGAATCTCGAAGTTTCTAGTTATAAGCGTACTCTTATTAAAAACGGAGCGATTCAGAACTGTTTTGTAGGAACAAGGAAGCCTTTTATTCGTGGCGATGACGAGGTAAAAAATATTTAATTAGCAATTAGAGCGACGGAGCATTTTGCTCGCGAGGAACTGTTGCGACAGTCGGCCTTTGTTGTGCATTGAAATGTGTAGTCGCTTCAGTACGGTTCTTATTGTTTGAGTTTGTATCTCGGGTACCGGAGTTCGCAGATATATTTATCACACTCGGAGGATACGCCGCGCGTCTGAGTAGCGAGAGGATTCGAGTATTCGGCTAGTCGGACGCGCGGTTCCTGGCGGTCTCACAAATATTTAAAGGATTAGCCTAGAGAAAAAGGACATACGGATAGAAATTATGCGCGAGATAGCTGTGAGCTGCATTATCGAGGCTAGTAAGGATACAGATCAGTGTTCGAAAAATAGTAGTAGATTGTTTATTCGTTGGGGCGATTTCAAGCCGATTGTACCGCAGGGAACTGATCCAAATCCGCCGTAGAGATTATTTTGCTCCTTCCTCCGTGCTCCTTGCTCCTACAAACGTTGGATTTGTAAATCCTTAGTTTCATCGAAATGGATTTATAGATTCCTTTGATTTATTGTAACTTTAGTATCTCAAATTTCGGCTTTACGTTTGCTTCCCCAGGAATTTTCAAATCTATATCTTAATTTTGTCGACCCCCCCCCCCCCCCC